TAAAAGAAAATATATACAAAATGTTTTACAGATGATATGTTAACACCAGAGAAATTAACAAAAATGTATTAAAATGTTTCTAATAAGTGCTGGAAATGTGAAAATAAAGTAGGGAGCTTCTATCATATGTAGTGGACGTGTAGTAGGGCCAAGGAGTTTTGGAAAATGATTCATGAAATGATAGAGAAAATTTTAGGGGTTAAAATTGCTTTGGCACCAAATAATTTCTTATTGAATATATTACCAGCTACACGTGACAAAAAACAAGACTTAATTGACCTTACACCTGATATATGCCAGTAAGTGGAAGACTATAAAGGTGCTGCCAAAGAAGGAATTTCTCGAAAAGATTTTGGAACTAGCAGAAATGGATATTTTGACAGATACACTAAATGATAGACTGGATAATAATAAATGGGAACCTCTTTATACACCGATTTAAGTAGAATAGTTTAGATTAATATTATGTTAGAGAGTATAAGACAAGATGAAATTAATGGAACATATTGTAAGAAATCAGTCTGGTTGCAAGTGATAGAAAAGCAGAAAAAATACAATAAAATATTTATTTAAAAAAGGAGGAAACATAATCAACAATCCTGCTTCCTAAGGTGGGTGAAGAGGTGGTATAGGAAGACCTAGCTAGTGCTCCACTTTTTCTATAAACTGAAGTCTTCAGGTCCAGAGAAATTACATCAAAGGTCCCAAAACGAGTTCCAGATGACCTCTCAGAGCCTCTGTCTATGACCATTGGGAATCCTTGAAGAATAAACAAGGTCCTAAAGTCATGGTAGGCAAATTTTGTTCCCATCTTCAGAAAGGGGGGGGGGACAAATTAGTTCCGGGCAACTACCACCCAATCAGTTACTACTGCTATCATGAAAATTCTTAAACAGGCCAATTAAACAGTCAGTCTATGAGGACTAAGAAAAAAAGGTGATGAATATGAAGAACTAGAATGAGTTTCTTAAAAATTAGTCATGACTAATATTTTTTCTTTTTAAAAATAGAGTTACAAGTTTAGTAGAAAAGGGAAATGCTGTGCATGCTTTCTGTAAAGTTTTTGACAAAGTTTAAACTGAACACTAGAAAGAACTTCCTGACAGGAAGAGCTATCTGACAATGGAGTGGACTAATGTGGCAGGTTGGTGGACTCATCTTCATTGGAAGTATTTAGGTAGATTTTGGCTGGCCATCAGTTGGCATCAGGGATAGGGATATTTGTATTTACAAATGAATATCTCCATCCCAGGTGCACCTAATGTAGGTCCAGCCCCCAGTACCAGCCCGTCCACTCAGGCATCCTGGCACCACGAAGGTCTTGCTCTTCCTGCCAACTGTGGCAGTAGCTCCACTGTCTCCCTGCTTGGCTGGACACTCCAGACAGGGAGTGGGAGGATGGGTCTTCCCTGCACAGCTACTGAGTGGCCCGCTGAGCAGGGAGATGGTGGAGTTACCACCGCAATTGGTGGGAAGAGCGGGACCTTCATGGCAGTGGGACAAATGAGTGGATGGGTGGTCCTGGGGCCGGATCTGCATTAGGGGCACCTGGGACAGGGATCAATAATTGGGATGCTTTAGATGTGGACTTCCTGTATCATCAGGGGTTGGACTAGATGACCCAAGTGCCCCTTCCTTTCCCCTTGATAGTTCTATGTGCCTTTATTGCTTTGTTACTAGTTTTAATTCCGCGAGCAAAACTATACATGACATTTTACCTTTAAATTTAGATTCCCGCCCCCCCCCACTCACAAATAACCAATGTAGCGGCTCTAATCTAGACTGGAATTACTATAAAGGAGTAGTGATACTGTGCCCCTTCCCAGCTGTCCAATCCAGATAAAGGTCCTTGTGATGGCTACTTAGAAGCAGACAAAATACCAAAACACCAATTCAAACACCAGGGAGATGCTACCCCACCAAGCAAATAGCCAGAGCATTATTCTGCTGATACAGATCAGGGCCACAGTTGGAGGCAAAGTGATAAATTCCTACCAGCCACATCAGAATATCAAGTCAGATCAGCTGCCCCTTTCAACATGCAGCCATTTGCCATGGAAAATGCCTGCACTTAAAGGGAAAACTACACAACTCATGTCACATGTAGTTCTCCTGTTTCTCTTTCTATAAGCAACACCAGCAGACACCTGGATTGGGGATTTTGCCAGCCTTTCATGATTTGATGACATACACTCTCTGAGCCCACTAAGCTAATGCATCACTGTGTCAACCCACTCCCTTTGTAATTATTGAAGTGGTCTGCTCTGTTCCCCAAAATGGGACTGCCTGGAAAGGAGGGAGGGATGGCAGGAAGGAAGGAAGAGCAGTCTTGCTTTACAGTCCAGTACCAGGACTGCAGGGAGAGAGGGGGAAAAAGGGTGGGCCCATTGTGATTGCCCAGGCCTGACCTTGTGTGTCTGCCTCTATGTCTTAAAAATAATTAATATTTGGGGGGATTCGGGGGATCCAGCATCTCCTTGCTGTGGACATCCATCAGTGTATGCTGATTTTGCCATTGGTTTCTGTTACGGTCAGCCATAGCATTACCTGTCCATCACAGCTGGGAGGGAAAATCTCAGCCAATGAGAGGGCGGAGGGTGGTGCAGAGGCGGGAGGAGCTGTGATATATAAGGTGTGTGAGAGGTGTGAGTGGGTCAGATAGGAGATAGCAGATAGATGAGGGATGAGTGTCTCAGCTGTGAGTTAAAGTAATCTTAGTGTCAGTGTGAAAGAGTGTGAGAGCTAGTGCCTGAGAAACAGCAATTGATTATTTCTTTAACAGTGGTTTACCATTCCTTTCTTTTTGTATTCAATAAACCAAGTTTTTATTTTTAAAAGTTATACTGGCCTGCTGTATGATTTATTTATTAAGGAATGGTTGGTGGCAGTAAAGAAGAGTGAAGGGTTTTAAAGTGACGTGATGACCTCCCTTTGTGAGTAGAGAGGAAGGCCATCACAGTTTCCAACATTCATTGTGGCCTGTATGGCCCTTGGTCATGGATAACGGGTGTTTGTCCAATATCATCCGGAGGGCCATAGTCTATATTAAGGCAGAACATATGTGGCCATTTCCCCAAAACGTTCCTGGCAGTTAAAGGAGCTCTGTGCACTTTCCTCCAACTTCACAGCCTTTCCCTTTTCTCTTCTGACTGCCATCAAAGTACCACCTCTGTGCTGAAGTGGCAGAACAAGTGATTGTCTCCATGCTAACCATTTGAGACAGACCTGACAGGAGCAGCACCTGTGTCTCTAATCTAATAGCTGGGCCTGAGTGATGAGGGCAGTCCCCTCATTCTGTGTCTCCCAATCTCAAGCCAAGTGCCCCACTTTCTCTTACACACTGCTGAGTTAGATGTGCAGAGTTAGATGCTCCCTGACATCACAGAAATAAACCATGGACTGAATGAACTGTTTTACAATGGAGAAGTATGCCTTCCTCCCTCTCTCTCTTTCTCTCTCTCTCTCCAGTTTCTTCAGCGTTTGGAGGAGCAACTTATAGACATTCGCAGATACCCACCTCCTCTCTTGGTGAAGAGTCTTGACGGATTGCTGTGCTTTAGCCAACTCATCCTTCAGAGCAGCAAGGACCTGTAGAAACAGAGGGAAAGTGCAGTTGCGATGTGAGGAAGCAGGCAGATGTCCAAACCTGGTGAAGAAGTGACGTCCTTTGCCAGGTGGCTATACTGAGACATTCATCTGCTATACTCAGTGCTGACTAGCTGGCATACTGTGCAGAATGCAACAAGGCAAACTGACGTCTGACATTACAATAGGATCGCAGTACCTTCTGAGGAATGGTTCCAAGCCCCCTGTCCCCACCCGCCAAAAACCATGGGTATAGCAAACCCTATATATATGCTATATATACACACACACAAAAAAAAAATACAATGAAAAGTAGCATAAGATAGCAATATAATATCACATATATAGCATAGTCTCTAGTGGCCAGTTCTGGTAATACACCTTGAAAACACATATTTCTGGAGGGTTTTATTTAATATTTTCAGGATGCAAATAACTGAAACCGCAGGTACTGTACTGATCCTGCAGAGCCTGGTGGCACTTTAAAGATCAATGCCTTTATTACAGCATAACTTTTCATGGGGTTCATTTTCATCAGATGCATCCATCCAAGTCATGCATTATAGGGAAAATCCCGCTGTGGGGGGATGAATAGGTTAATTGTGACAGATATGCATGCCACTTAAGGCTTAGTTTGAATCTTAGTGTCCAGTATGTTAGTGGATTACATTTCCATTAACATCCTCAATAAGCCCATTTTAACTGAACATGCCAATTAAAATATCACTTATATTGCCAACTACTAACCTAAGTATTCTGTGCAGAGGGAGAAAATGGGGAGGCCACTAGGATAACAGAACAGCCTTTGATGTTTTTGTAAAAGCCCATCCTCATCATGTACCAGAGACAACTTAGAAATAGAGCATTTTTAACGAAGGCATGCTGCAATGCATACAACCACACTGCCATGAGAAAACCCCACCAGCTGACAGGTCTCATCACAGAGTTCATAGCTACACTGAATTTAAAGTGATTACAGAAATTATACCAGATGGATACCATTTGGAATTATCAGGGTTCCAGATTCTCTGCCCAGAATGCCTTGCTGACTATACTGTTTTTTAGCGGAACCCCATTATTCAGAGTTAGTTACCTGCTGGTGTGTTTTATCTTGACTCAAAGATCTGCTGTTGTTTTCCATCTCTGGTGCTTGGGACACTTTGGTATCTAAAGTACTACTCGGCTGCGGACCTACAGTATGTGCTGAGCAGAACAGATCAGGTGGCACTGGCTGTCCTGAAGCCAAAGAAATAGACTGGATAGGACTGGAAGGAAGCAGAACAGATAATAGATGACAGTACTGAACAAACTCTTCACACTTTTTGACAACTAGAACCATTCTAAGTATGGTCAAATATGCAATGGTGTGGATCCAAAGAAGTGCACCGCTTGTTGTACATGGCCAGCTGATGCTTGGATGTGTGTAACACTATAAAGAAGAAAAGCAAAGGCTTATGATTATACTAAAGAAAGCTTTAAACACTGTTATTATAGTTTACTTTCACTGATAACTGAGCCCTTTTCTTCTTTTGTGTATTTTAAAATAATTTTCCATTCTGCTTATTATTTTCACAGATTGCAGTCACAAGATATTATACACAGAGATCAAAACACACACGTGTAAAACAAGGCGCTCACCGTGTTTGGCCGTGGACAGCTGCGTCTCCACCACCTCTCAGCACCACCAAGGCCTTTCTTCTCAGTGCTTCCTTCCTTTTGCAACGTCCTGGCTGCAGATTGTTTCGGATGACGTGGAAAAATAGCTTTGCATTCTCCTTTGCTGATACCTGCCCAAATGGCATTAACAATCGGTCAGGTAGGTGGCTATAAAGAAGACTCAACCCAAAATGTTAAGGCAGCAGCGGATGGCGCAACTACCCTATGGACACTTTGTTCTTCTCCTCACAAGAAGCCATGTGCTCAGCAAAAGAAGCTGAATGGTTGATAATCAGACTTGCAGCTAAAGTCTGTGCTTACCTCTTGATGATCCATTACAAAGCAACACAAATTAATCTGCACAATACTGGCAGTGAGAAAGCTGGCTGGATAGCTCAGAGGTTTAGGTATCTGGCTTGTGGAGCCAGAGTCTGGGTGTTTGATGCCCCACTGTGCCTCCTGTGAGCATACAACATTAGGGCCAGATAGCCACAGCAATCCAGATAGCTATCTGCTGCAACGATGGAAATCTGTCTCTACACATGGAGTTCCCTAGAGACCTGGAAACTATGTGCAAAGTCCTATCGGTTTCCTTTGAACATCTGATGACATCCCAAATGTAAATAATTTCATTTGTTCATGCTGTGTGGAGAAGAGCTTCCGAATCAAATGTTGGATGCACAGTACGATAATAACAGAACATATGGTCAGAATATAATTGTTGTATTTTGAAAGTAATGGCTATGTTTTCATGGCAAGGCAGCCAGTATGCATAACTGAATTTTCCTGGTTTGAATTCAAACTTGAACTGTA